ATATAAATAAATAAAAATAAAAAAATAAAATAAAATAAAATGACAACTCTTTAAGAGCCTCACCAGTTTTATTGGTGAGTCTGAAGACGACTCTGCGGTCGGCGATGGCACACACGTTCCTGACGGAGGCGATGCAGCTGTAGTTGGCGTAGTCCTTGGGTCTCAGGTTCTTCAGCTTCAAGATCTTGGTTTCACCCTGGAGCTCAGAGCGACAGACAGAAAGACGTGTGCAAATGTGTGCTCCACAACACAGACATACTGCAGGAGAATGATGCATTACACACACACACACACACCTCCTGTTAAACCATTATCACCGAATGCACTTTACACAACTTCTGCATGAACAATATCTGACGGAAACAATAACAACTGCTTAGGAACCTTAATATAGTCATTTTATCTGTTCGCATTTGATACATGAATCTTTAGAGATTTTGAAAACATTAAACCTGAGATGTGACGAGACGAGACATTTTGCATTTTTAACATATTATCTTAAGAATAAGAGCATTTAAAAAAATATAAAATAAAAAACATTGTTTCCAAATAGTTGAGATTGGTTATAAAAGAGCTTGTGCTTTTACTGTTCCTCTTTTTTCTTCTTTATCCCCTTAAATCCATTTGAATACTATATATTAATAATTTATTCATATAATATTTTTATCATATATATTTTATACATAGCATTTTTAGTACATATTATTCATAACTTAATTATGAGATTTGTATTATATATTTCATAAACAATGTTAATATGACATATTATCAATAATAATTTAATCATATTTTGATACTATATATTTTTTATATCACATTTTATATTCTAAATTATTATTATTAACAATTTAATTATATATTATATATTTTATAGATGTTATTTCTTATATATTAGTGCACTAAACATTTAGGCCTAAATTTATGATTTATGTATTTAAATTGCATATATAATTTCCATGCATCTGGATTACAGAATTTATAAACTATTAAATTTAATGTGATGATGCATATTTGGCAGTCGTATATTAAAGAAACAGCTCAGATTTCTGTAATAGTATGTTAATATGCTCAATGTGATATTAACGATATGTGATATAAGACATATTTATCATTAATAAATCCAATCTCATATATTTATCTAACTGAATATTGCTTGGAATTACAAGCCATACTTTAATCATGTTAATGTTTTTTAACTGAATACATTTAACTGTTTTCCCAATGAACAGATTTATATTGATTCTAAGCAATAGTAATAAATGCATTTAAAATAAATATTATTTAATTATAGCCAAATAGATGCAAATAGTTAATAATAAACCATGCTCTGATTTTGGAGAGCTTTTTCTGCTTATGATCAAAATATATATTTTGTTCAATAAATATAGTTTATTTTAAGAATACAGGAAAAAAGAGGAGATCTGAGGCTTTACAGTGGGGACATATTATATTTTATTACATCTGATATGATAAATATTCCATTTTTAAATGGATCATAAAATATGATAAAAAATGTATATGATTGTTTCGTTATAAATATGGTGTTTATCTTTATATTGGACAACCAGGTTTATTACAGTTAACTAAAACTAAAACTGAAACAAAAATTTAAATCATCAAAAATTTAGCAACATTTCTCACTTTGATTTAGTTTAAATTTATGTACTAAAATAACTAAAATAAAAACAATATAGACAAATTTGCATCACATTAGTTTGTTTATGCATAAAAACGGTGTAATCCAAATGAATGGAAATTTTATATGCAATTCAAATACATAAATCCTAAATTTAGGCCTATATATTTTTCACCTGAGCTTTTCTTTTTTTTAAGTTTTAGTAAAGCCATTTTTCTAGTACAATATTTCGTTTTTTAAATTTTTTTTGTATTTGAACTAATTGCCAGTTTTATCATAATTATTGTAAATATGTCTATATTTTTATTTGACTGATTTACTTGTTTATCCTGTTATTATTATTATCAATATTATTATTTTAGTAAAATAAAATGAGAAATATTTCCTTGGGAACTTGTTGAACTAAAATGTTAGTTTTTCTTTTTATAATTTATTTTATTTTATTTTATTTCAAGTAATGAAATATTTTTATGGTTGTAGTATAAGTTAACTATAATAACCCTGCATTTGACAGATCAACAAGCGCTAAATCCTAATGTTTAAAATTAAAAAACTGCATGAACTTCCTCTCATGACAGCAGTCGCGTGATATGATGAGTGTTTAATAAAGCGTGAGGAAAGCAGCGAAGGCTTGGCCGACAGCATTGATCATCATTAATCTGGATCTTATTTCGCTTCCACTGTAAATCCATTCAGCTGCTCCGATTATATCATCACACACTTTCATATTCCACTGACATATTCATACTCAACCTCCCCAGCATCAGTCTATAGACAGACGACACCTCCTCGCCTGCTTCTGCCTGATATCAGTGCACAGAATAAAAATACACGAACCAGATCAGAGAGAAGAGTGTGTGTGTGTGTGTGTGTGTGTGTGTGTTATCGGATGGTGAGATCATTGAACACATATGTGGAATCTGTTCGATTGTTTTGCAGTAAATGCAGCTTCACATGAATTCTTTGAATCGTGCGCTTGAAAACGCAACACACGCCAAACATCTCTGTACTTTTGTAAAGAGAAATCTGTGGTCAGCACAAGAGAAAGATTCAAAAGAGGAGTTTCCCTGTGGTTGTCTGCCAAAATGTTTGAAAGCAAAACAAAATAAAAAATAAAGTAAATAAAAATAAATAAACATGTACAGTACACTCTAAAATATGCTGGGTTAAAAACAACCCAACTTGGGTTATTTGGCAACCCAGCGCTGGGTAAATATTGCTGGGTTACTTTGACACAGCTGGTTGGGTTAAACGTTTTTACCCATCATGCTGGGTTGTTTAATTTAAGTCATCTATTGTTTAAAAAGTATTATATTGCTGGCTTAAAATGGGCTGGCAATTAAAAATCCCACACAGAATTACTATAGGCAACAGCAATAATCAAAAGATGAACATTTATTTTAAAGCAAGAACACCCATGGACAAAATACAAGACAAATTGAATTTATTTGGGTGAATACAGCATAGCTTACAATATCACATACATTTAAACTCGCTTAACGAGCATTTTAGTGATAAAAAAGGCACATTTAAAAGTAGCTATTTAATTCAAGTGTATTCAATCATTCTCTCTAATCGTTTTTTACCAAAATAGTGCTAATTCTCGTGCTGGTGTGTCGCCGAAATCTGAGCCGATGAAGGGCTGCTGTTCGCCGGGGAACTGCGAACTTTAGACCGCGGCCTCGCGTTTCACTCATAGCTGAAAGTTGGTGTGACTGACTCCAAAACCTGCCCATAAACAAACAGTACTGAGATTAGAGAACATATTTCAACATCAAATTTAATTGAACTCAATTTATGTTATGCAAGGCAAAGACGTTTCCAGTGCAAAACGACTGCTGCTGACGCAGCTGACTGACATCTCGTCCTTATGTTGCGTTGCATAAAATAATATTATTTACACCACATTAAAGACTTTATAAATGAAATAAAATGTATACAAACCTTTATTTCCCGGAAAGAGTGCATCAGATCGGTGGAGGCGGCGCTGAGAAAGCCCGGGATCTGACCGTAACTCAGCAGCTGCGTTGTTGAGAAGTTTCACCGGAGACAGGGTCAACCCAGCGGTTAGGTAGAAAAAAATAACCCAGCGCTAAAATGACCCAGCACGTGGGAAAAATATTAAAAATAACCCAAAAAAATGACCCAATAGGCTGAACCCAGCATTTGGGTTAAAACAATAACCCACTAATTTTAGAGTGTTTAAATAATAAAAATATAAATAAATAAAATGATACAGTACATATATAATTAGTATTATTATATTAGTGATTTATATATTTAATACTAATTTTATAATAATTATAATAATAACAAATAATAATATAAATGTTCTTGAAATTATTATTTTACAATAATAATAATTTCAATTGATAATAATAATTTGTTTTTGCTCATTTATGTATTTCATGATAATTTTAATTTATACTACTACTATTAATTTTTATTTAATTTACTAAATATTTCACAGTTATATAGAGTACATTTATTTTTATTAAATTTTTATCATTTGATTAAATAATAATATTAATAATAGTAATAATAATAACGTCTCGGTTACGTATGGTAACCCTCGTTCCCTGAAGGAGGGAATGGAGACCTTTCAGTCGGTCACTCTCGACGTCACGTCGGATGACCAACGAAATTGGGATCCTACCAAAAGGCCACAGCTACTGCCCCTTCCAGTGTCCTGTGGAAGCCACTTGTGCCCCTACTTTTTGGTGTAGGCCAGGGCTTGCACAAGAGGACCAGCTACTGCTGCTATGGCACTACCCACTGAGTAAGACTGGATAACACTGTGAAAATTTACCCGTTCTACTTGGAACAGGGACGTTACGGAAGCTCCAACCTTCCCGAAGGAGGATTCGGAAGCAATACACATATGAACATTCCTTAGGTGCATATGGAAGAATGGAGGTGATTGTAACCCTCTTGGAATGGCAGAAGTCCGCCGGGGAAACACGGGCTCAAGGCTATACCGTGGACTTTACACATATGGGATCCACTTAGGCCTTACATATGGAACCCAGCCTTCTACCAGGTTCTCGAGGATTCAACGAGTGAAGGCCCGGCGCCGGACGCCCCGCCACGTCTGGCTGCCAAGGGGACGGAGGAGCTCAACACGGTCTACTATATGGACTCCCTGGAGGGATTTTTACAAGCTGACCCAAAGTCGGGGCCTCTCAGTGCTTCTACCCGTTTGAGGTGAGAACACAGGAGGATACCGGCTCCACACGAAGGCTATATAATCTAGCGAACGTGTTAGGGGTCACCCAGCCCGCAGCTCTACAGATATCTGCCAGCGAGGCGCCACGAGCCAGCGCCCAGGAGGATGCAACACTTCTAGTTGAGTGAGCTCGCAACCTGAATGGGCAGGGCACACCCTGTGCCTGATAAGCCAGGGTGATGGCATCCACTATCCAGTGGGCCATCCTCTGCTTAGAGATGGCATTCCCCTTTTGCCGGCCTCCGTGACAGACAAAGAGCTGGTCTGAGGTCCTGAAGCTTTGTGTCTGGTCTACGTAGCACCTTAAGGCTCGGACGGGACAGAGCAAAGCTAG